CTCCGCCCTCTCTGAAGCTTCTGACTCCGCCCTCTCTGAAGCTTCTGACTCCGCCCTCTCTGACACTTGTAACTCCGCCCTCTCGATAGTTACCTCGGAGGCGCTTTCTTTGTGTGGGCTCATCAGGCTCATGAGCATGTCCTCCAAGGCGTCCAGCTTCAGACGGACAAATTTAACCATCAGAGCAGACAGACAGGAAGTGACACGGCAGCGTTTGTGCTGATGTTTGAGGAGGAGAGGGTTGTTCCGGTTGGTTCTTACTCACCTTTCCTCGGTCGCTCATCAGGCGGTCTATCAAACCTCTCTGCTCATTTAGCTGATCCATCAGGTTACTGAACGCGTCTCCATGGGAACCTAAATGTTCAACATAACATCAGCATCGCAGTCTGGGAGCAGAAATCAGATGCTCTAAAAGTGCTGAAATTCTCATTCATTCCATGAAGTTTGAGCTGTAATATGTACAAATAATAGTTACAGGATAAATTACAGTAATTACTGTAAATACCTATAAAAGTTTACTTGAACTTTTACCACTGGGGGCAGTGTTTTACCAGGAGGGGTGTTACATTTTTGGGATGTGTGTGTTCTTTATACCCGCTCCCTCAAGAAGTGCTCTCGCTGACGTACTAGGTTAAAGAAAGACTGCACCACCTTGTGCTACAATTAGGCATTACACACAAGTGTGGCCACACAACAACAGATGTTTCGGGCACAAACTCATAGCAGCTGTTTCTTCACATTCTGCTGATAGATTTTTGGGAGGCTAAGACATTTTTAAACAAAATAATTTTCTAAAAACATTTAAGAAAGATAAAATAAAATCAAAGGTTGGTGCAGCTCTAATATATTCTTCATGCTATGACTTCAGATCTCACACTGTGATCTGAACACTTTAAATGAGAGCTGTGTTCATGAGAGACTTTCTAACAGCTTGTATGGCGTCACCTTTGGTGGCGATGAGCTCTCTGAGCTGAGCCAGCTGACTCTGGTCTGCCTTTCCTTTCTCTAACACCGCTACGTGAGCTTCCACCTGGACGAGCCTCTCCTGCAGCTGGCTCACACTCCTCAGGGCCTCCACTGCCTCTGTGGATGGTGTGGAGCTGTTGGAATCTGAAGCTGGAGGTTTACCAGCAGAGTCTGCTTTAACACCAGCCTGTGGAGGCGGCCCTGACTGGACCGAAGAGCACTCGGATTTATTTGGAGAACTTGGAGCTGCTGGTCCAACGGTGACCTTGTCGGGGTGGGAGGAGGGAGGTGTGCTGCTTTGAGGAGGTTCGGTGAGGTCACTGCCGGAAGGCGAGGAAGTTTGTTTGGCTGCCACGAGCTGATTATCGACCCCTGAATCTCCAGGCTCCTGTGAGGAAGTCAGAGACAAACACTGTGAAACTGCAGACAAATATCAACACTGTACTCCAATCCATACCGCTGGTCAGGAACACAGCAGGGAAGGGCAGCCAATCAGAATCAAGCTGATTTAGTGGGAGTGGAGCTAAAAGAGCTTGTTTCAGGGAAAACTCTGGAGCTGCACCAAAGCTCGGGGTGAGATTAAGAAGGATTATTATGAACCTCTTAATCACACAAAGCAGAGGCCAAGCATAAAAACATGGAGCTGGGAGTGAGCCGCAGAGGTTCTTAATAATAAACAGACGGGTGAAGATCAAATTAACCCCAAAACAGAGACGTGTGATATGGATGGTTCGAATAAAAACAGCAGAGCTGGGATTTTTATTTTTTTCTCTTTGATGCCAAAGAGATCAGATTCCCATGAACATCTGCCCCAACTTTATCTAAATTTGATTAAAGAACCTTCTTTAAAAGCAAAATTTCATGTCACATCCGCCTGTTTGGCTTGTTGCCTCTTGTTTCTTGATAAATAATCACCTGCTGAGGCCTCAGCTCGGCTCTGCACACAAACATGGCTGCTTTCCTCGACACTAAAATAACTTTAGGACTCTAAACATCTGGCCGTAAGCTCGTCTGTTTCTGATGAAACACAAGTTTCTGTTTCTTTCTCACCTTCTGGAATTTTTCTGTCTCGCCCTCTCTGTTGCCGGGCAGAACTGCGTCCCTCAGAGATTTCTGTAACAACCGTGAAATCACGAGGTTTGGGCATGTCCTCATTAAACTGTCAGAATTACATTATTACACAGAAGCCAGTAGCCAACAGTTTAAACAGTGTCACATCCTCCCCTCAGACAAACCCTCACCACAGTTTCCTCCAGAGCGTCCACACGGTGGCAGCAGCTCTCCACCCGAGCGGCCGTCCCCAAAGCGTCACCGACCATCTGAACACAGGACAGAGGGAGAGATCAGAACATCCCACGAATCCACATCCAGCATCAGCTGAGCTCCATCGCCGAGGCCTGAGGGCGAGAAGACGCTGAAAATACGGCGTGGCTCAGAATCAGCGTGTTTCCCTGCAGAGCCACTAAAAGTCAAACATACATGAAATATTTGCTATGATGATGAGCTCTTTTCTCCAGCTGAACATTGACTGAGACTTTTGGACAGCAGAGAAACTTTCTGTGGTTCAGATTCATAAATCTATCCAGTCAGACCAGAACTTTTTTTCTGACAGTTTCTATTTATTGTTTTATTTCTAGTTGCAGGTTTCTATTCTACTTTTTGTTTATGGAGCTTTATTATTCTGCGTACTTCATTTTTTCTGTTAAACTGGGCTCCTTTATTGTGTGTCATGTTTTACCACATTAAAATGTTTCATTTTGTTTATTTGAGTGATGCCGTTATAAGATGTGTCTAATATTACTTCTGTAGTAAATAAAGTATATCTAAATAAGTATAAAGTAGAAATAAAGTATATCTAAATAAGTATAA